GCACCCACCCTGGGTGGCTCACAACTGCCTTCCACTCCAGCTCCAGGGGATCTGATACCTCTGCTTCCTCAGGCACCTGTACTCATGTGCCTACAGACTGACACACACACAAAATTAAAAAATAATAAAAACAAATCTTTGAAAAATACTTGCTAAATTTAAATTTTCACAAACATAAACACTATGTGTTCATATAATGATATTTTCGTTCATTGGAACAGCCCATGATTTCTTTGGAAATTTACACAGCAATTATAAGGGAGGAGTCACTCCTGGTTCTGCGGATATAAATGCAGGTCACCTACTTATCACTTTGCAGTGCATGCTGCCTCCAAAGCCCTGTGCCTCACTGCTTCACTCCAGATGGAGTTCCTGAAAACAAATGGCAGAATAGCCTAGAAACGAAACCAACAACCTACTTCCTTGATTTTCTTGCAAAAAAAAAAAAAAAAAAAAAAAAAAAAAAAAAAAAAGCCACAAGAAACTATCCCGAAGCAGCAGGAGAGGCTTCTTTGCCAGTATTTGTCTCTTTTTCTGAAAGCTTTTAGAGCTCCAAGTAGCTGCTAGGAATTGAACTCAGATCCTCTGGTGGAGCAACAGTGCTCTTAACTGCTGAGCCATCTTTCTGGTCAAGGGAAGGAGAGTCTTGGTAGCTTTATATACAAGAAATGGGGAGTCAGCAATAGACTTCTTCCACTTGAGGTAGGGGGAGGGAAATGGCCATGCTATAGGTGAAAATAGATAACTGATTATGATAAAAACAAAGCTGATTGCTGGGTGGCACACGCCTTTTAATCCCAGGACTCAGAGGGAAGAGCCAGGTGAGTTCGAGGCCAGCCTGGTCTACAGAGTGAGTTCCAGTACAGCCAGAGCTACACAGAGAAACTGTATCTCAGAAAGAAAGAAAGAAAGAAAGAAAGAAAGAAAGAAAGAAAGAAAGAAAGAAAGAAAGAAAGAAAGAAAGAAAGCAACAAGAAGAAGCTGATCAATACATAGCAGAGTAAAGTGTTTGCAGGGTCATGAGCAGCCTGTCTATTCATGTCATCCAGTGTAAGTGCAGAGGCTTTCACAGGGAATCTAAGGGCCCCAGGAGGAGATGGGGAAGGAGGGACTGGCTGTGAGCAATCCACTATTTGGGTACTGCTTTGCATTGTTATTAGTTGCACAGCTTATGTTTGCTTGTTTATGTTTGTGTCAGGGTCTCTCACTCTTGGCCCAGGCTGCCTTGAACTTGCAACAATTCTCTTCTTCCAACCTCCTGTATGCTGGGATTAGAGGTGTGTGCCCCCACTTCTCTTCCAGCCTCCTGTGTGTTCCCATGCTCAGTTGAGGCTCACCTATTTCTAGGCAGTGTGGAAGCATGGTTCAAAAGATGCTCGGAGGCAGCACCACTTCTTGTAGGACAAGCTCCTAGAGCTAGGAGGACATGAAGCTGGCCTTAGACCTGCCACCAGACCTTCTGGGGGTTTATAAGCAGGGGACTCTCCATTTCTAATTCATCTTTATTCTTCCAGGCTGTTCATTAAAGATTTTACATTTACACAAACATTTTCACTGAAAATTATCAGCTTTCCCCTAAATTTTTGGAAACCACTTTATTTTTTTTTAAATTTTATCATTTTGAGACAGTTCTGGCTGACCTGGAATTCACTTTGTAGACCAAGTTGGTCTACACAGATCTGCCTGTCTCTGCCTTGAGAGTGCTGGGATTAAAGATATGTTTAGGCCACCATAGTTTGGGAAACATTTGAATAGCTATATAGTATTTCCAAATGTCCAACCACTTTCTCTACTATTGGGTATTTGGGATGTTTAGGAACCTTTTTTTGTTTGTTTGTTTGTTTGCAACGGAAGGAAGAGTAGGGCCTGATGGTACCCACACTTGTAATCTCAGCACTGGGGAGACTGAGGGAGGAGGATCGGGGCAAGTTTCAGACCAGCCCTAGATACATGAGACCATGTCTCAAAAAACCAAAAATCCAGGGGCTGGAGAGATGGCTCAGAGGTTAAGAGCACTGACTGTTCTTTCAGAGGTCCTGAGTTCAATTCCCAGCAACCACATGGTGACTCACAACCATCCGTTATGAGATCCGGTGCCCTCTTCTGGTGTGCAGATATACATGGAAGCAGAATGTTGTGTACATAATAAATAAATAAAATCTTAAAAACAAAACAAAAAACTCCCAAAAAACCAACATGGCTGGATGGATGGCTCATCAGTTAAGAGCACTGGCATCTTTCAAGAGGATCCTGGTTTGATTCCCAACACCCATGTGGTGGCTCACACCCATCTGTAACTCAAGTTGCAGGGTATCCAGAGCCCTCTTCTGGCCTCTGAGGGCACCGGACACACATACAGTGTACAGACACACATGCAGACAGAACACTCACATACAAAAAATCCTAAAACAAATGTACAAACAAACACACAACAGACCTAAAAACAAAAGCAAAAGCAAAGTTGAAGGAGACTCTATCAGATGCCTCCTTCTGAGTGAGAGAGGGAAATGCGTGGACACTGGGTTCAGGAAGTGCTTGGTCTGCATCCGTGCCTACTGTGGCCCCAGAATGAGACACACGCACAAACAAGTAAACACAACAGTATTCCAAAGGTGTGGCCTAGCCACACCAAGGAGATGGGGAGCCAAACCAAATAACTTGTGCATCTTGAGCCAGGTTCTCACTGTGTAACCATGGCTGGCTTGCACTCATTATGTAGACCAGCATCAGGTCTAACAACTATGCTTGCTTTCACAATGGTGAAAAACATGGATGAGCAAGCCTAAAATTGGTTTCTGTAAATGCTGGGGTTGAACAAATAAATATATTGTGGTATTGGAATTCTGGCTAACAGGAAAGGAATTAAAAGCCTGGAAATGATGGCGACTTTGTGGGCTAGACCTGAAAGTGTGCAATGAACTCTCCTGTGATACAAACTGAGAAGTCCACATATAGCCACAGATTCAGGAGGAAACATAGCTGACTTAGTCCTCACACACACACAGCCGCCATTTCCCAGCTGAGAGAACACAGTAGCAGTAAATACACAACACACTCTGCTCAGTTTGTCTGGAGGGCAGGGCTGGGGATGGAATCCAGGGTCTTCTGCACACTAGGCAGGCATGTACCCCTGAGCTACACTGCCTCTGCACACACACACATCCCATATCTACCATACCCCTTCATCCATAGATAGCATCAACCATACTATATGTGTGCATGGTGCTGGTCACCAAACCCAGAATTCCAGGCCCGCTTGGCAAGCACTCTACTTCTGAATTTTACTCCCAGCTCCAGATGCTGGTTTTTAGATAGAGTGTCACCATCAGAATAGGATTCTCCTGTTTTTAAAAAAAAAGATTCCAGTCAGGCATGATGACGCATGCCTATAATCCCAGCACTTAGGAGGTGGGGCTAGGAGGAGGATGAGGAACTCAAGGCTATCTTGACTATACTACAGCCTGGGCTATGCAAGACTGTCTCAAAGAAAACAAACAAGACATGCTGATTCCAGGGAAGGGGCAGAGAAATCAAATAATGATTACAGAACGTACTGTTTGTCACAAGTTGAAGAGCACTCTGGTCACAAAGGATGTATGGGGAAGGGACAGGAGACTGTGGAGGGCGCCAACTGTGGCCAGTTTGTGCCCACTGTGTAAAATGAGAGTCTGTGGGTACAAACACCACCAGAGGAGGAGGAAAACTGCCCAGAGTACAATCTAGTCAGCGCAGAGCAGCTGTGAACCCTGGGGACACTGTCCCCACCTGGGAACACTACAGTAAGTCAGGAACTGCCACTGGCAGCTTAGACTAGTGTAGACAGCCTGGAAGGCTGTGTCTACAGAGTCTCAAGCATTTCTCTTTGTGAAAAACAGGGTAGCCTCAAGCTCACTATGGAGTCATGGCTAGTTTTGGAGTCCTGCTGGATCCTCCCGCCTCCATCTCCCAAGTGCACAGCATGCACCACACCCCGTAGAAAGAAACATGATGGGGGAACCTGGAGGACACCCAGTGTTCAGAGTTAACAGTACCAGGGATGGGATCAATCACACTGAGAGTCTGGAGGACACAACATCTGACAACCCTGGAAATGCATACCCTGAGTTTACTCACAGTCACCCAAACCCAGGGACACTGCAAAAAGTAGCTGCTTCTGCTGGGAGGTGGTGACACAAACCTTTAATCCCAGCACATGGGAGGCAGAGGCAGGAGGATCTCTGTTGAGTTTGAGGCCAATCTGGTCTACGGAGTGAGTTCCAGAACAGCCAGGACTGTTACACAATACACACTATTGTGGAATATTATTTTAACTTGCAAAGATGTGTTACATTTGTTTCTGCTGTGGAATATTACTTTATGTGAAGGTGTGTTACATTTGTCTCTGCTGCTTTTGTCTAATTATGTAAAGATGTTTTGCATCTGTTTCACCTTGCCTGCCTACGCCACCTGATTAGTCTAATAAAGAGCTGAATGGCCAATAGCTAAGGCAGGAGAGGGATAGGTGAGGCCGATGGGCAGAGAGAATAAATAGGAGGAGAAATCTAGGCTCAAGAAGAACGAATTACAACACTGACTTCCCTCAATGAATGAAGTGACATGGAAATGTAAGCTGAACAAACCCCGTCCTCTTCAAGTTGCCTTTGGTCCTGGTGTTTCATCTCAGTGACAGACAGTGAGTCAATGCCGTACCATGTGTGTCAATGTCAGAGAGCAACTTTGGGAGGCAGAGCTCTCTTTCTACCATGTTGGTCCCAGGGGTCAAACTCATGTTGTCAGGCTTGGTGGTGAATGTCTTTACCTGTTGAGCCATCTCACTGGCCCCAAATCCCATTTGATCCCAGGGTCTTCACTCTAAACTACAATGCCCCATAAATTGAACCATCAACCATAAATTGAAAGACTGAAGCTAAAAGGTAAATTTCACCTAAGGTGAAAATTATATTTGAATGAATATAACAAAAATTCCGTTTTTCCCATCATACCACATGACAGACACTAACCTGACAGAAGAACTGTTGCTGCGTTCCCGGTGTGTTGCTGAAAGTGCTGGTAGGTTTGGAAGAAGAGACTGGAAGACGATGGGACACACTGACTGGTACTGGAGTCCTGTTTGGTTGTGTCAGCTGGTCTCCAGTGAAGTTTGATCCCGATGCCCCAGACTGCACTGTGGACCCAAGACTGGTATGAGCAGTGCTGGCTGAGCTGACAGTAGGGAACCGAGCAGGTCCTGACATGCTGGTCACTGAAGGCATGGCGGTAAAGCCTGGTCTTCCTTGGGAAGCACTGCTCTGCCCAGGTGACAGGTGTAATACAGTCGGCGAAGCCCGCTGCAAGGGCATCTGTCCTCCGACCATCTGAGGAGAGGCATGGTTGACGATCACTGGACTTCCAGAGGTGGCAAAAGTCTGTCCAGACACTAGCTGGACGGCGGCATTCTGGTTGTTAAGCATCTGTCCAGAGTACGGTTGGTTGGTCCTGAGCATGTTAGAAGAATTCCTATTCAACATGACATGCTCTGAGGCCACTTGGCCAGAGATGAGCTGAGAGGGCTGAGTCTGAAGAAGCTGCCCATTTATGGTCTGGACATGGTGAACAGAGTTGGAGCTGACAGAGAGGCTTGTAGGTATAAGGAACTGACTCTGAGGGGTGTGAGGCTGGCCCATGGGGGAATGAATGACGATACTGCCCCCTGCACTGCTCACGGCCTGCGAGGTGACAGGCTTTCTTGTGTTCTGTTGGTTGACAATGTTCACAGACATGTGTGGACCAACCACGGAGCCCTGGGGCGAGCTTGCTGAGGCGAAGGAGATGCCTTGCTGTACATGGTGCTGCTGGATTCCCAGGCTGTTCACATTGTACGCACTCTGCTGACCCATCTGGATCGGCTTTGGCTGGATATTAATTGGGACTTTATTTGAATTTGGTGCAAGACCCCTTTGAATAATGATGTTATGCACAGGTAAAGATGCCTGAAAATTTGTGCTGTTAAATGGAACGGTGACAGGCTGTGCTACGGGACTGGAAGTGGAGTTCCCAAACAATGAGTTGCCATTAGGAGTCTGTCTGTGAACCAGAAGCCCTCCGCTCACATTGGTTGGGGTTTGCTGCCCACTACCTTTTAATATGATTTGCGAGCCATCTAGGTTATTAATAGTCATCATGGAAGGCTGATTACCAAATGACCCGATTAACTGTATTTGCCCAGAGCCACTAATCTGGCTGCTATTAGGCAAATGCTGGCTGGGAACACTGATCCCCACGTGTTGCATAAAGCCATGTTGCACACCCACTGTATTGCTTGCAAACGATGCTCCCACAGGCACGTGAGTCACTCCAATAGGCTGCAGTGTCTGACCTGAGTAATTAGAAACATTAGAAGCCTGAGTAAAGGATGCTGATGAAGAGGGATGAAGCTGAGCTTGTGCAAACTGCTGGCTGGAGCCTATACTGGCATCCAGGTACGCCTCTTCTGCCAACGTCTGTTCAGTGATATTAGCCTCCTGCAGGGATTTCTGAAGAATGTCAAAGGGTTGGTCCTCGCCGAGGTCAGGAAGAGGAGAAGACTCAAGTTCATCTTCAAGAAACTGAAGGCTACTTGAAAGTGGCAGTCCATCACTGGGCCCTTCTCCAAGCTGGTTACTTACACCTTTGAGGGACGATTTGGGGTCAGCGTTCTAAAAAGCAGAAGCAGTGTGTGTTACAAGGCACATCGAACCTTCAGAAGACACCATAAAATCTCACTCTGGAATAAATACAAATAAAGCTCAATGATTGGTTTTCAGGGCACACCAATTTTTTGTTTGCTGTTACTTTTAACCTGAGGCTGGCCTCGAACCTGCAGTCCTCCTGTAAGACACAACTTTCTTCAAATTGTCTGCCTTATTTTTCCTATTTTATTTCATTGCTTTGACAGATTATTTTGCAGGGAACACATTAGAAGCAGCAAGAGGTGTGGCGGCTCACACCTGCAGTCTCAGAACTCACACATAAATAGAGAATACGGTGGCATGGGCCTTTAATCCCAGCACTCTGGAGGCAGGTACAGCTCTGTGAGTTCAAGGCCAGCCTGATCTACATAGTGAGTTCCAGGCAAGCCAGGACTATAGAGTAAGACTTGCCTCAAAAGCACAACAACAACAAAATAGATACACAGGCAGAGAGATAACAACATGACATAACTTAAGGACATCTTAGAAATCACCTTAATGTTTCTAAGCGATGGTGTCATCCCTCCCTCCCTCCCTCCCTCCCTCCCTCCCTCCCTCCCTTCCTTTCTTTTTTTTAAAACAGGGGCTCTCTGTAGCCCTGGCTGTTCTGGAACTCAGAGATCCACCTGCCTCTGCCTCTTGAATGCTGAGTTTAAGGAGTGTGCCACCACACCTGGCTAGCTTTCCATTTTTGGGGGTAGGGGTACTAAAGATTGACCTAGAACCTGACTGTGTGATACCCATTCCCACAAAAACTTTGTTTCTTGAATTGTTCCCAGTCTAAGACTTGAGTGGGAGTTAGCCCAGACAGGTGTACATCCAGACCAATGCACCCCAAGATGGCAAATAAGTTTGAGGAGCTCTGGGTGTATCTTTGCTAGAGGTCCAAGAAAGTACCCACTATAGCCCCGAAGACAAGGCCAGACCAAAGTAAGTCCCAACATAAAATGGGTGCTAGTGAAACTTCCTTGAAGTATTACTTATTAACTCAAGTACTAAGCAAAAATATCTTAATCTAAAAGCATGTGAACAAACAAAAACAAACCCAATTAACTCAAAAGTAAAAGCCACCGTTTTCCAGGTATGTACATATATGTAAGTTTTGTCCTTAAGGAACCCCTGGGAACAGGCAATCCATATAGAGACTACAATGCAGACCCAGGAAGAGAAGCTAAAGACAGTAATGAAAATTAAGACACCTACTATGAGCAGTCATCTTCTGTGGGACAGAATTTTAGAAAAAGTAAAATAGAATGCTAGGAAGAAACAGCCACTTAAATAAAATATTAAATTATTTACGACTACTGAAACGTATATACAAAGAGAGTCAAGACTATAATTAATATATTTGTTTATCTTAATTTGCTGCTCTGGGGAAGGAACCCAGGGCCTCATGCATGCAAGGCAAGTGCTCTATTACTGAGCTACCCCTCAGCCTTAGGAGGTAATCCTGCTGTGTATACCATGCTATAATCAAAAAGAAACAAAAAGAAAGTTAAAAACAATTTCATAAAAGACAACTACTCTTGGGTGTTGGTGGTGCACACCTTTAATCCCAGCACTCAGGAGACAGAGGCAAGTGGATCTCTGCGAGTTTGTGACCAGCCTGGTCTACACAGCGAGTTCCAGGACAGGCTCCAAAGCTACACAGAGAAACCCTGTCTCGAAAAATAAACAAAAAAAGACTGTGAGATTCTGATGATGATGGTGAGTCCATGTTTGTTGACTACACTGAGAAGTGGTTTCCATGGGCCACTGTGAGATAGTCTGTTATTGTGTTTTCTGACTGTGAAAACTGAGCATTCCTGAGATGTACAGACTAACAAATTCAGAGGTGGACAAGGTTTGGGCAGTCCCACAGCAGACCATCATCTGTAGAAGAGGAATGCAATGAAAAAGATGAGGTGATGTAAGGTGAAGCAGTAATCCTTTGTGTGTGTGTGGTGAGATGTGTAGACAGTACACGTGAGGACCAGGTGTGCATGCTCGAGCAGCCCCCACCTCACTCCCTTGAATCAGGGTCTCTCACTGAAGCTGGAGCTAGGCTGGCACCCAGGAAGCCCCAACCATCCTCCCATCTCAGACTCCAGCACTGGGGTTATAGGCACTTCTGCAGCTGCTCCTGGATTCTTATGTGGATCCTGGGGATTTGAACTCAAGTCCTTATTCTGACACAGAAAGTGCTCTCACCTACTGAGCCGTTTCCCCAGCTTCTACCATAGCGATCTTAGAGGGCCTCCAAATAAGACTCCTCAGTTCCCATCCTGTCTAAATTCTCCCAGAACTTAACAACATAGGCTCCAGAAGCTGGGGCCTGAGTCAGAATCCTAGCTATGTGTCCCACGGCCGTGTGAATACAGGCCAAGTAAAAAGCTCTCTGTGTCTTAGTCTCCTTGTCCACACAGCAGAGCTAATGGTAAAAGCACTTCCTGGCGGTAGGTACTGTGAGCATTAGATGCAGTACATACAAGCCCTCAGGAACAGGTACACACTACATCCTCCAAAGCATTAGTTATTACGTTTTTCTTGCTTCAGATGAAAACTTGTAACTATAACTAAAAAGTCTCCTTAAACTGATATAGCAAGGTTGAACATTGGAGTCACGCCAACATTGGAGTCATTTCAGAAGGCTGGAAGCTTAGGAAACTGAAATGCCCGAGAGATGGTTCAGCGGGTGAAGGTGCCTGCTGCCGAGCCTTAGGAACTGAGTTCAATCCCTGGGACCCGAATGGTGGAATGAGAGAACCAACTCACGGCTGTTGTCCTTCTGACCTTTGAAAGTACACATAGGCACACACATAACCTCCTTGCCCCATATGCATACATAAAATAAATGTTAAAAAGAAATTGGTGAGGCAAATACCATATAAGCCTGACTTATATGACCAAAAGAAAACACTGGTGTAATTAATAGATGTTTCCTCCCTGTAAGTTGCAGTGAGAGGCCATGGCTCTTACGCTACAGAGGCAATGAACGTCTCAGTTGACAAGGTCTGTCTCTTTGAGACAGAAAGCGTGCACTCTGCTTCTAATACTCACCGTGGAATTGGCGAAAATTGAATTGGAATTGGCTGCAGAATATCCTGCATTTGTCAAGTCATCGCTGCTCTGCAAAGGGGCGAATTCAACATGGTGGTTACTGGCGGAGTGTGGAGAGTCGAAAGCGATGTCTGTCTGAGACACTTGCCTGTCACTTACCGATTTATTACTAGGTCCGTGCAGAAAATAGTTCAATGCTTGAGGGTCTCTAGAAAGGAAGAAAGGAGGGGAAAACAAATAAACACACTACTTGTATTTAAATATGCTGTTGACATTTTAAGAAGGCAAAAAGAAAACAACACTATTAGCTTGAGCAAAAGCTCCTTATTTTCAGTCATTTCTTCATTTCTGCCTCCTGGAATCAACCTCAGGTCCTGGTTTGTGTAGGCAAGCCCTCTAACAGTAAGCAACACCCTGGCCTGGCATCTTGGGACTTAAGAAAACAAAACAAAACAGGAATGGATTACTGAATTATGACTCATATGTGAAACTATCTCTTTGGTCCCTCTGCTGTAACCACAGTTAATTATTAATTTTTATTTTAAAAGCCCAGAAGCTTTCAAGATACCTACGGAGCTGTTTTTGTTTCTCAAACCTCACACAAGGGGTCCACCCTGGGTTCCAAACAAGCATCTTACCCAATAAGATCAAGGAGACACGAGTCATCATCATCATCCATGACAACTGCAAGGGAAGGAGAGAGAGTGGGTGTGAGCATAGAGGGCCCAGCAGTGTGGACGCACAGAAAATGTGACGCCCTGAGCTCTTCTGTCAGAGTAAGTGGCATGCATGCACACAAGCTTTCCTTCAGTTGATTATCAAGTGTGTCATTTGAAAAATTTGTGTTTGGTGGGCCTGGTATCATTTGTCAGTTGTCCCAGCTGCTCAGGGAGGACTGAGTAGGGAGAGGAACTTGAGTCCAAGAGTTCAAGGCCAGCCTGGGCAAAGCAAGATCCCAGCTCATACATAAATAAAGAGTAAACAAGCAAGTCAGGCATGGTGGTACACACCTGCAATCCCAGAAGTTGGGAGGTAGAGACAGGAGGATCAAGAGGTGAAGAAGGCCACTCTTGTCTACATGACAAGTTTGAGGCCAGCCTGGGCTACATGTGACCCTATCTCAAAAACCAAGCCAATAAAAATAAAGGTAAAATGTATAAAAATTTGCAGTTACTTGAAAAAGGTTTCGACTTAAATTGTTTTTACTATAGATCACTTTTCAACTTATGGGTAGAAAGATTCTAGAAAAATCTAAGAGCTGGCGGCACCCTCCCATATGTGGATTCCCTATCGGACTATAAAAGATAAAATGTGACTCCATCAAATGTAGAATGCTTTAGAAAAGCTCTCACAGACTCTGGGGTCTTTCAGTAATGTGACTGTGTGCTTCTAAGCACGGAGAACAATCTAGGTCTCTCAACATATTTTGATGATCTCTAGGAAGGCAGAATGCAGTGAGCTCTACCAACTTTCGGAGACAAAACAGGAGGCCCTGTGCTGCTGGTGGTACAGCCTCTGGCCATGGGGCCTGGGTGCTTCCTGGTACAGTAATACTGTCTAAGTTCAATGCTGAATAATCCATAGCTGGACTGAGAATGTTTAAAGTAGAAAATCTCCAGCAGAAGTTCACCCCACTCCAGCCCAGAGCTCCCTCTCCCTGCCCGCAGCAGCCCCAAGCATGGCCAGCACAGCTGTGGCCCAGACAGTAACAACTGAACAAATTCCAGGAGTGGTTCTCCCCCGAGAGCCAGTCAACTTACACTAGTGATCCGACACCTGGCAACCCTGCTTCTCACCCATTTCAAGCCATGCGTGGAATAATTTACATCACAGAACGCCAGGGCCAAGAGTTCTGGAGCAGTTGGAAAGGGCAGTTGTGAACGGCAGTTGGACGGAGGAATGAAATCCTGAAGAGATGCCCAGAGGAGGGGCATGCCCAGGACGGCAGAGGGAAGGAAGAGTCCTATGAAGAATTTTTTTCCCTGTTCAAACTCCCTTCTCCCCTCGGTTCCCCCAGATCAATCACAAGGCCTAACAGATGTAGAATTCCCTCCTGCCACAGGGAAAGGTACTTTCTCTAATCTGGAAGAGCATGAAAGGGTAAGTACTCCTTCCCAGGATAGTTGGGTTTGCTGGGCTGCTGAGTGATTGGGTTGATCACACCAGTTGAGTAGAACCCAGGGTGAGGAGAGATGATGGGTGAGAAAGGAGGGAGGGGGAGTGGGAAGCCTGTACCAGAAGACAACACTGATGGCTGAAACTAAGAACAGCTAGACGTGGGAAATGGGCTCTTTAGGACCCAGGCTAAAAGTTATTTGAGGTCACCGCTGGCAGGAATGTTACTGAACACATGACTTCTGGAAACAGGACTGGGAAGGAAACAGGAAAACTATCATCAAAGGGATATGTTGATCTGTCACACATGCAAGGAATAGTGGCATACATCTGTATTCTCAGCACTTGGGAGGCAGAGGCTTAGTGCAAGATTAAGGGCAGCCTGATCTACCTAATGAGTACCAGGACAGCCAAGGCTACATAATAACCCACCTCAAAAAACAAATATCACAAAACAGAAAACACACACACAAAAAAATATATAATACACCCTGTTATCTAACAAGCATTAGTTCATATCAGTATAAACCACACCTCATCTCCCAGACATCCCAATCACATGGGATAAATTGTCCAATTATGATGTATCTTTCAGCCTATAAAATGTATTGGATTTACTTCAACATGGCTATTTAAATGGAATATCCCTTTATGCTTATGTTTGGTTTTTGTTTGTTTTTGAGACAGTCTCACTATGTGTCCCTGGCTTGTTTGGAACCCACTATGTAGACCAGGTTGACCTTGAACTCCCACTGGCTTTTGCCTGAGAATGCCGAAATTAAAAATATGCATTATCACATACGGTCCTTCTAAACTTAGTTTTTAAAGTTGAGGATAGGGCTCAGTGGTCCAGCACATAAGATGCTATGGTTTGATCTCAGCATCACAAAAGAAACAGTGTCTGTAGCTCTGATATAAATTAACTAAGGAAAACATGAATGAGGGGGCTGAGGAGATGGATCAGCTGGTGAGTTTTATTGTTAGCACCCACATAGCAAGCTGGGCATGGTGGCACACACTGGTAACCCCCGTGCTGGAGAGCACAGACAGGAGGATGCTTGGGGATGCTTGGGCCCACTGGCTTGCCATCCCAGCATAACTCACAAGCTCCAGGTCCCAGTGAGAGACCCTGTCTCAAAAAGTGAAGTGGTACCAACAGGTACACACCAACATGTACACACACACACACAGACACAGACACATAGACACACACACACACACACACACACACACACACACACACACACGGATAAAAGTATGAGAAAAACCTACAACCAAAAAACACATGTCCATATCTCTCCCAGTTTCCCTTCCTTCCTGATGATACACTTATCTAGCTTGGCTACTTGACAGAAGCTGTGAAGGTAACTCATTCCTGAAAGGTGAACACCAGCCACCCCGTGGGGGTTACTCCCACTAGCCCTACAAGCACTGAGATTACCCGTTACCTCAGACTTTGAAGAGACAAGCTACCCACTGAGTAGTCCTAACAGAACAATTATACATACATATTTGATAACGGGGATGGGACCCAGCTAAGAGAGTTTATACTGTGAGATAAATCTAAGTTAGTGTATATTCTCCTTCACCAAACCAATGAGGCTCATCAAACACTTGCTGGGAAAGCCAGCCCAACCAGGCAGGCAACCTTTTCTGGCCTGTGGGTAAAATGCTTTGCGCCTTCACAGCCAGGGAACCCTGAGAATTCTACTTTTTAAAGGCCAGTGGCTGGGAGTGGTGGCACAGCACACACTTGTATTCCCAGCACTTTCAAGGCAGACACAGGTGGATCTCTGTAAGTTCAAGACCAGCCTGAGCTACATAGAGACCCTATCTCAAAGAATAGCAAAAGAAGGGCTTGTGAGATGTCTCAGTGGGTTGAGGCATCTGTCACATAAGTCTGGCAACCTGAGTTTCATTCACACAAAGGTGGAAGGAGAGAACCAACTCCACACAGTTGTCCTCTGACCTCTGTGCACTCCCCACATAAAAACAAAACAAAAAGCTTTTCCCCAATTTAATTTTTTAAAAGATTTTTATATGTATGAGCGTTCACCTACAAGTACGTATGTGTACCACATGTGTGCTCTCCCCAATGCCTGGAAAGGCTGGAAGACTGTTGGATCCTTTGAAACTGGAGTTACAGATGGTTGTGAGCTGCCATGAAGGTGCTAGGAATTGAACCCAGGCCCTCTGAAAGAGCAGCAAGCACTCTTGAGTGCTGAACCATCTCTCTAGCTCCCCAACTTAATATTTTAACTAGCTAATGTATTTGTTTAGTGGTGTGTGGGGGTGTGTGTGTGTGTGTGTGTGTGTGTGTGTGTATGCATGCCTGTGCGTGCATGTCATGGCTCATGTGTGCTTCTGGCCTCCCACCATGTGAATCAAGAAATCAAACACCAGGCTTGTCAGAAAGGGCCTTGAGACACACTGAGCCATCCCATCTCTTTGGATTCTTCCTTGTTTTCTGTACTTTTGCTGAGGTCTTCCCTCATTCTTTCACAGCCCCACAGTGGCAGGATGGGCCACAGACACCATGTGAATTTTGTAAGGCTGTGTTATGTGAAAGATGGATCCTTCTCTAGGGGAGGCTCCCAGATCAACGACTGGAAACTATTTCTTAGTCCAAGAGAGGTAATTGAGCATGACAAAGTCTCAGTGACAGCTGCTCTATGTGGCAGGACTAGTCCTAGGGGCAAGTCGGGAGAGGGAGGTAGAGGGTTGTCCTTGGAAGGCTACAAATTTCAACTCCTTTACTAGGAGAACTTTACAAAAAGAAAGATGAGTGGAACTGCTTCCCTCCTTATCTTGCTCTGCCTGGTGATTTTTGTTTGTTTGTTTTGTTTTATTGATAGGGTCTCATGCCGCCCTGGCTGGCCTTGAACTTGTCATGGAGTCAAGGTAAACTTGAACTCCTGCTCCTTCTGCCTCCACCTCAAGCCACCACATCCAGCTCTCTACACTTTTCCTTCTTCCAAAAATACATCCTAGAGACGATGACATTAAAAGGCCACCAAAGAGCCAGCACAGTAGGCTAGCTTATTAAATAAAGCCAGAAAGATCAATGTGCTGGCTCATCTCTGGCACTGTGCTGATCAGCAGCAAGGGGCACCATTGGCAGGACCGGAATCTTCAGCATCCTGTTTGTCAGTTCTGAGACTTTTACTCACAGTCTCAGAGTTGTTATTGCTGTGATAAAGACCATGACCAAAAGCCACTTAGGGGAGGAAACAGCTTATTCCAGCTTACACTTCTACATCACAGGCCGTCATTGGGCACAGAAACTCAAGGCAGGAACCTGGGGACAGGAGCTGAGGAAGAGGCCACGGAGGGTGCTGCTCACTGGCTTGCCCCCTCTGGCTTGCTCAACCTGCTTTTTTATACAACCCAGGCCCACCTGCCCAAGGGAGACAGCATCCATAGTGGGCTGGGCCTAGGCCTCCCACATCAATCATTAATCAAGAAAATACTCCACGGGGTAGCCAACCGACAATTCGACAGGCATTTTCTCAACTGAGGTTCCTCTTCCCAGATAACTCTAGCTTGTGTCAAGCTGACGATAATGAAAACAAAAGCAAAACAAACAAAAAACCCAACCAGACACCAAACAATCACCATTTCCAGCTCTCTCTCTCTCTCTCTCTCTCTCTCTCTCTCTCTCTCTGCCTTGTCTGTCCTGGAGCTTGATCTGTATGTAGACCAGGCTGGCCGCCAACTAAGAGATCTGCCTGGCTCTGTCTCCAGAGTGCTGGGATTAGAGGTGTGTGCCCACAGCAGGTCTTTAAAAATATTTTTAAGGTTTTAAAAATTGTTATTATTTTATGTCTAAAATTCTTTTTGCCTGTACGTATGTCTGTGCAACATGTGAGTGACTTGTGCTCCAAGAGTTCAGAAGAAACTGGGCAGTGTTGGTGTATGCATCCCAGCACTGGGGAATTCCAGACCAGCCAAGGCTACACAGAGAAACCCTGTCTTTTTTTTTTTTTTTTCGAGACAGGGTTTCTCTGTGTAGCTTTGGAGCCTATCCTGGCACTCGCTCTAGAGACCAGGCTGGCCTCGAACTCACAGAGATCAGCCTGCTTCTGCCTCCCGAGTGCTGGGATCAAAGGAGTGCACCACCAACGCCCGGCGAGAAACCCTGTCTTGAAAAACAAAACAAACAAACAAAAAAGGAGTTCAGAAGAAGGCATCCTATCCCCTGGGACTAGAGTTATAGACAGCTATGAACCACCATGTGGGTGCTAGAAAACAAACTTGGATCCTCTGCAAGAGCAGCTAGTGCTCTTAAATGCTAAGCCATTAAAGTATATTTTTATTTATTTGTGTGTGCAGGAGCCCATGGAGGTGAGAAGAGGGCATCAGAGCCTTGGGAACTGGAGTAACAGATAGTTGTGAGCTACCATATGGGTGCTGGGAACTAAACCAAGGTCCTCTACAAAAAAACAAGTTCTCTTAACCATTGGCCTGTCTCTTTTTACTATCTTTTGTTTACTCTTTATAATTTCATACATGCATATATCTTGACCATATCAGCCCCAAATCCTTCCTTCCACACCCCCAAAATTTCCATTCCTATCTCCATCTATATACACACAGACCTATTAACTCACTGTATACAGTCCATGCTGCTGCTGGGATGTGGACTCATGTTGTTAGCTTGGTCTTGTGTGCTGGGAATATAACCTGGGTCCTCTGCAAGAACAACCAGTGCCCCTGCTGTTGTTTTGAGGCAGGCTCTCACTGTGTAGACTAGGCTGGCCTCAAACTCCTGGCAATCATCCTGTTTCAGCCTTTCCTGGACTCGGGTTATAGGTGTGACCCACCACACCCTGTTTTGGTTTTTGTGTGTGTGCTTGTTTTGTGTTTGGTGGTGCCAGGGAATCACACTTAGAATCCTGTGTCATTTCTCTCCTTTTGTGTGTCTCATCTGCTAGTCTCACCCAGTGATTCATTCCTCTTGGTTTCTTCCTTCCCTCCCTTCTCTCTTTTGAGGAGACAGAGTGTCATGTAGACCAGGCTGGACTCAGATCCAATTCATAATTCAGGATGACTTTGAACTTCTGATTCTACTGCCTCTGAAGAGCCTCCTGATTGTCTGGGATTACAGGCAAGGGCCACCTCATCTGTATACCTTAAATTTATATTACCAGGTGCTGATTAATTTTTAATTAAAAATTATTTTTGTGCATGGATATTTTGCCTTGCATATTGTTTGTCACAAGTGCCTGGTACTAGAGGAGGGCAGAAAGGACATCTGATCCTCTAGAACTGTTGGTGAGCCACCATGTGGATGCTAAGAACTAAACCCGGGTCCTCTACAAGAGCAGCCAGTGTTCCTAACCACTGAGCCATCTCTCCAGCCCCAGGTGCTGGGTATTTATTTTTTGGT